TAACCCTCTTAAAGCTATATACGTATTTTTGTATTTTTGTATTGGTTTTTTATTTATTTTTTATTTATTTACTATCCTAGTTGCTTACTGTCTAGTACCTAACGTCAACATTCCCCCCCACCTTTTTGCCTGTCTAATGAATAGGTAGGAACTTGGGAATCGCCTCCCCCCCCTATCCGGATCCGGACTTATCCGAGCCGGATTGAGGAGCGTACCTCGAGCGACGGGCTAGGCGCCATGCGACCGTCTTTTGCAGTCGATCGTGCACAGATTGGGACGTTCTAGTTTTGCGCCCCAGTGAGGAAGAACGGCGGCGTTTAGACGCACGGAACACGGCGTTGAATTCACTGAACACCAACTAAATTATTAAATGGAGAGTCATGCACGTGACCGTGCCGCCATCCTGTGATCCCTCTCCTCTTTCGAGTCCACTCCAGGTCGACCAAAGCATCTGCGTGGCCTAAGCTTCAAATTGCTGAGAGGAACTGCTGCTCTCGCGGCGCTAGGCCGGAACGCCACAGGCGCCATCGGGACAAGCCGACCGATACTAATTGTTGAGGAGAGATGGGGGAGATGTCACTTTGAGAGGCTGGACCATAATAAAGATGGCGACGCTCTCGTCACATGGTCGGCCCGACTCCGAGGAAGAACCGATCGAGAAAGTGAACGACGTCGGGCTTTTCTCATCCTCCTCGAAGAGCGAATCGAGTTCCCCCGAGAAAGGGCCCAAAGAACGAGAAGAGCGATGGCCTCTCCCGTTCGTGGTTTCCAGTTTGCCGCGGGAGGGACGGAGAACGTCGTCGACCTCGTCTACCTCTTCTGCCTCCCGTGTCAGGACGAAATCGTGGAAAGGTGGCCCATTAATCTATTCAACCCCTACTTGCTGTGTCGAGGCTTTCTAGATTAAGCTATCCTGGGCCGTAGCTGTTCAATTATCGGTTTTACCTTGAGGTAGTTGTGAATTGAAGTGGTCTTTCCCTAATCGTATAAATCTCTCTTTAAATATTTCCTTGATGGATTTTGATTTTTTAATTCATCTCCTGCGATTACTTTTGTATTACAGTATTGAATTTCTTCGCCTTTTTTCAACTTTAATCATTAGGGCATGTTTCAAGAGGGGCAAACCATCTTGCCATTAAGCCACTTATTGCAAATGCCTCATGTCTTGAGATGGGAGTCCCAAATGCTTAGGGGTCTCGCTTCTCAAGCACACCAGGACTGGCACCAGGAAACAAATCCCTGACTTTGGTTGGGTTCAATGCCCGGGTCATTCCTGCAGGAGCCAAGCTCATTACTGATCGAGTCACTAACCAGCCTGCAACTCTGAAGTCTTTCTCTAGCTAAGTCTCAACATTATTTCCCTTTATTGATGAAGAGGGCACATTGGTGAGACCTTTGGCATAACAGAAGCAAGCAATATTGGTGATCGTCAAACTCCATTTGACACCTTTGCATCAGCTAAGATCATCACAGTTTAGACTGGCAGTGCCTTTTGAATTTGACTTTGTGACCACCTCAATAATCTTGGCCTAGTTACACACTCTCCATCCTTCACTGCCCCCAGAACATCCCTCCCATCATCTTTCAATGCTGCTCTCTGTCTTGCACCCCCAGAGCCAAAACACAATCAGAATCTGCTTTTAGGCACCGGAGATATGAATATGGTAAATTATTAACTAAACTGGAACATATGATATATCTGACAATTTATGGAGATTTTGTGGGGTAGGCCCTTCAGGTTTGAAGCCATTCCAAATATATACGTTCCAATGAAAACTAAACTTCTCGTGTACTCTTGTACATATTATACTCTTTTGGTGAGCAGAGATAGAAGCCTTTAAGTGTCTATTCCTTCTCATCATAATCCCCACATTTCATGCTTGAAATCAGGATTCATACATAGAGGTCATTCAAAGAGGTGCAGGAGGAGAATGATGGGACACAAGAACAAGGAAGATGTGACTAATGTCAGTTCATGAATGACTTATACAGTATTCCTTTGCATCCCCTCTTTGACCCATGACTACAGAATGGGGTGAAGGCATGAAAGGAATGTGATATGGCTAGGTTTGCATGATGGGGTGGAAGTGAACTCAACAAGTATAGTTGCTTGTAATTCGTGCATCTAGTTAAAGATGCTCACTTGTACGTCTGGGAGGTAATCTATTGTGATTGGCCTCTGTTGGTTATGGTCTTGTGTGGGTTGGTTCCTGCCTGGTCATGCTTATAAATTAGTGACTATAATTGTAGCTATTTTACTCTTGGTTTGTTTTTTTCATTCTTTTCCTTTGATAGGCTAGCCCTTGCTTGGCCAAAGTCAGTGGGCAATGTTATTCCAGAGGTTAAATTAGACATTGTAGGTGGAGATAGTCCTAAATAGTTTTCTCATATGGTTTATAAGCCATCTTACATCTTTATGGGCCCAGGTACTAACTCCTCATGATTTTTTGTGTTTTTCTAATTATCTGCTAATGGTATCAAACAGAGTTGGACATGGTGGGAGTTGAGAGGAGGAATCTTGTCGCTCTCCTGCGACTTGTCGTAAGAGATGTTATCGAGTCCTCCATGAAACTTGGCCGAATGCTTGACTCTGACCACATACCCCTCCAGGTAAATTTCCACAGGACAGTATCAGAGTGTTCACTGGGTCTCTCCTGTATATTGCACATTTTCATTTAAACTCCATGTGATTTCATTGGACTTTGCACTTATTGCAAATATCTGACACTGTCATTGTACATGCCCGATTCAGGTGGGGATATGTTCAAATCAGTTAAATTCATGAACTCCTGTATTAGTTGGATATAATGATATTAAAATGTCAGAGTGAAAATGAAATTTCCCATTAATAAAAGTTTTTATTATTTTATCCATGAGAGGACTGTTGATAAAGGTTGAAAAAAACAGTTGCACAAGGTGCTTCTGACATATGCAGTGATTTGCATGACAATGCAATTCAAGCCTCTAAACCTTCAGTG